ACCTTTATGTACAGAATCTGAATATCGCAAAATATTGTAAAAAATTGCAATAATATCGTATCGTGCGTTAAGTATCGTGATAATATCGTATCATGGGATGTATGGCGATTCCCACCTCTAACTAATAACTGTATTTTTCAAATTAAATTACACTACTGACCAGGATGCCGGGTAATGCTAGCTAACAATCTGCTGGGAGGGAGTCTGTTGTTGCTTTGGGGATCCGTGAACACAGATGGAGGCTGAAGAAACAACAGCAACAAGACTAATTGTGTGTCATTTCTGGCCATGCTGCCTCTGTGCCAGACTTGCCCTGGAGGTGAGGTTTAGGTTGCCCCACCCACCCACAATTACAGTGAACCAGATAGGACAAAGACAAGAGTACTCAAGGCTGACAGTTGTTTTGCATGACGTCAATACAATTTGTGTCACTAAAAATTGTAATTCGTCCAAATGGATTTTATCATGAAGCTGAAGTTATGTGAGAAAGTTCAGCTAGATGTTACTTGTGACATGACCCATTAATCCGTGAATTTCTCTAGTTCATGTTGAGTGTTTTCACCTTTGTTATCCTGGTGTTTAGAAACCTGGTGAAAATAGTCAAGGGGTGCATATGACTGTGACACTACTCGCACAAAGCCTCGTCAACACAAGTTGTTATCCAGTGAGGACATCCTGGATAATCCTCTGACACTTAAACAAAATTTGCTAAAAAAAAAAAAAAGAAAAAAAAAAAAGGTTAATGCTCGATTCATTGTCATCTGAAACAGGTGGCTGAGCCCATAAACTCATCAGGAAAGTATTTACTGGGGTCAGGAAGGAGAGCAGTTTTTCCATAGACATTTATAGAAGCGCAAGTCTATTTGGAACCACAGTTATTGCCCCCTGGAGGTCGTTAAAAGAATGCAGATATATCTATGGTCAGTGTAAAATACTGCATTGGTGAAGCATTTCTAACGTAACAGGGAAATTCTGCATACTTGTCACTAATGAGGTAGGTCACACAACTTTAACATTAATGCACAACTCCGCTAGCTCACCAGAGCTACTTCACAAGGAATGTGCTACTGTGCTCATAGCCCTTTTTACTCTTCAAGTGTAACTCATCATATATTCTCTAGGCAGAACATTAGACTACAGAGAGGCGGCTATATCAGAGCTAAAATTTGTTTTACACATTTTTTAAAAAATAAGTACACCAGTAATTGGGGTAAAAAGAAAAAAGCTGCATATGAGACCTGACAATCAGCCAATGCCCGGAAGAAACTTTGCCTGACACAAAAAATGATTTGACTTATGAATAATGGGCTGATTAACTTCATTCATTTCAATCTGTCTGCTTGACAGTTTACAATCATAAATGTCTGTGTTTTACTTACTTTTGTAAGTGAAATAAAAGTGACAGGCATCTTTGTGTCATATCTTTATTTTAATGATCAATAACTTATTCTGGCAATCTTATCGGTTATTTGTTTCAGTTGTTTTTCCACCTTTAAATTGATCTATATGCCACATTTTTCACTTCCGGGAACCATGAGACCACTTGCTGATGTGGCCCATAGTACTTGTCATCTGACGCCTCTCAGGCGTGTTTGTACTGTGGGGTCACATCCATGAACGAGGGTCAAGCCTCCATCATCATCACCACTGACATGGGACACTAGTCTGGGTTAGAGGTTGACTCTCTCAGAGGACCGAGGTATGCATGGCATGCCAACAGAGCAGGGGATCAACACCAACTCAGGTGAAATTCACCATGCTTGGTAAAGCTGCCCACTCAGTTGTTACTGAAGAGACTTAGTTTCCTGCCTTGCATGCTACACTAGTCAAGGCTGGAGGTCATCTCATTCAAAGAACTGAGGAATGTGAAGCACGTCACAAACATTAAATTCCACACACTACTCCATAAAAACTATCGTGCTGCATTGAGAAAAGAGGGCACCCATTTCGTTAAAGGTAAGAGGGAAAATCTATTAGAATTGACAAATGGAAGTAACACTGCCCCAGCTGCTGAGGCAGGAGTAGTCACCTAGGTTAACCAAAGCAGAATGAGCCTGCAGGAAAAGCAGGCCTTTCTTATCACAGAGTGTTTCAAACACTAGCTTGACAGAGCGTGGTTAGGAGTGCGTTTTCTACAAAAACACGGGGGCTACAGAAAAAGTAGTATTCTTTCAGCAAAAAAGAAAAAGTGGACTGCTGGCCTGTGAAAGCATACTGCTACAGAAAACCGGCCACAGGGTCAATATTTGGCAGGAGAAGTAGCCAGTTAAATAAGGTTTAGTCAGTGAAGCACTGGGTGCTGCCTAAACTCTCATATGCTCCTTCACTGTATCTCCATATCTCTTCCAAAGATCAACTGGGCATGACATGAAACAACATAAGGCCAGGCTCTGCTATCCATGTGCAAGGCAGCATGGTGAGGTTTAGCATATGTTCAGAGTACATGCATCTATGTATGGAGTGAGAGTCAGTCTAAGCAACACCTGACCATTTCTCTGGCGTGGCTTCTCCGGGGAGTGACGTGGCCGCTGTTATAACTAAAATCAGGTCTTTCTGCCAATTCTCTCCTTTCAAAAGAGCAAATAAAGTAAAGGAGCCAGTATTTCACTCCAGCCTCTTTATGACTGCATAACTGCACTTAAAGATAGGCTTAATGCATAAACCTCCTTCAAAGCAAGTGCCAGCCTGACTCCAGACTTACTTCTTACCCACCACAAAAAATAATATGTGATCACATTTTAGCACATTTAATGGCATGACTATACACCACACAGTGACAACATAAGTTAGGCTATCAAGACAAGTCATCCTGAAACAAACGCACGTGGTGAGCATTTGTTGACCCAGCACAGGCAAAGTTGCTGAAAATCTTGTTTTTACCTCTGGAAACTGGAGAGTCTGGGGGGCAAGACGACTCCTTATTTTCGGGGGACAGTCTTTGCTTAGCATTTGCACTTCCTGAACTGAGTGTCGGACTGGAGGGGGGGCTGGAGCCCCGGCTGTGGCTCGTGGCTCCTCCGCACAGGGTCTGTGGCCGCGTGGGACTGCTCTGACCCGCACGAAGGAGCTGGTAGGGCACAGTGGCACGGATGGGGTGCAAACGGCAGCTGTTGTTGTTGAAGGAGCCGGGGGAGCCCGCATTGCTGCGTCTGACCCTCGGCTGCTGAAGCGAGTTGCTGGGGGCTGACATCCTCACAAAGTGACTGTAATTCTTATCGCAGTGAGAAAAAAAACCACGTACTGCCAAAGTTGCTGTTTTTCTGCAGAAGGAGATGGTGGTGGGAAGAATGGGATGGGTGGGGGCGGTAAGATAAACATTAGCTTGTTAGCAAAAAACAAAACAAAAAAACAAAAACGTTAGCTTCCTTTAAAAAAAATCAGCTCATTCGTTCGAAGAAAAAAGCAGGTCAAAGACGTATTATTACGGGATAAACTTACCTGTTAGATACTAACAAATGCCGTCGTAAGCTGCAAACACAACATGGGCAACTTTAAAAGTTGTTTTGTAATACTTCTCATTACGTTTAATTCGTGTTTTCCAGCTCTCTCTGCGTCTTCCCCATCCTGTCCACTCACTCTAAATGACAGTTCTTTCTACCAGACTACTGGCTGCTGCCTGTGGGCGGAACACAACGCTCAATTCCGAGCGTATGATTGGACACTGGGGGTGTACAGTAACGACGCTGATTGGTCCAAATTTATGTATTGGCTATATTCTCAGCCAATTATATCTGTAAATATTTTATTGGTACATTATTATTATTATTTTAATTACATAAAGAGCATATAGCTCCAAAATAAATATTAAAACTTTGAACTAATAAAAACTTGTAAAATGACTTCATGACATTATTCATTATTTTTGTCAGATTCAGATGTAATTTCACACTGAGGTGAATGGCTTTTACTGCAGACCCCCTCTGCACCTCTTTACAGGCAGTGAAAACTTAGTCATCAATTTCAGCTCCACAGGAAATTTGGACCACCTCATACCACAAAGTCTACATTTATTAGCTGTTGTCTCTATATGACTCACTGAGCTCCTTATTTTATTGTATTTAGATTGTTTTGCAATCGAGATTTTTGTTCTTTTTGTTCTACTTTCTATTTAACTGGCAATATGAGAAGATATTTCGATACATTTTGTCACATTGTATTGCTTTATTGAGCTACTTCACATCATTTAGTTTGTCACACGATGTGTTTAATGTTTTTTGCATTAACAAAGTAAAACCCAACCAGTTTATCCCAGCCTCATTTAGTGCACCGTTCACTAATCCAGAACCACCTTGCTTTGAGGAAACAGTGCTAAACACTGCAGCACCATACCTGTTAATCTCATTTATCAAGCGGTTTCCCTTTTGCAGAGGACGGAAAAGTTTATATCTATATTTGATTTTAAAAAACATATATTTATACGAATCAACTCTGAGCGGCCTTGACCTTGTTGCACCTACTTTCCTGATTTCCTTGTCTCTGTTAATGATACTGTGCATAAGTGACTTGAGAGCTTGCTTATGTGACTTGACTCGGGTCAAATTCCTTTTATGCTTAAAGATATTTGGCAAATGAATGTGTGTGGTGAGACGGTTGGTCATCTGTTCCTTTTCCAATGGCAGACTCTCACTCTCAAACTTCAGGCCAGCTCCAGGTGACAAAACATCTTTATTCCACGACAACTGGCCAAACTACATTTGTGTTATGTTTAGAAACATAAAAGTGAAAGTTCCAGAAAAGCAGCCAACTTGGAGTGGAATTATTTGTGTGCAAGCTCTTGTTTAGAAAATCGGGATGCTCAAAATCTATTGTTTTTTTTCTTTCTCACCATCTTCCTGAATGCACAGATTCTGTGGGAGTTCCCATGGGAGAATAATGAGTGACTCAATGAACAGAAAGAGATCATGTGACAGAAAACCCACGCTAACTGCGTCTATGAAACATAATAATGTAAAAATAAGCCATATAAGGTTATGGAAAAACACCCCCATTCAGCAGTGCTCTAATTTGTCAGTCAGAATTTATTTCAAAGGGAAAACACAAGAAACAGTGAAAGGATGAAATTCCAGCCAATCTGTTTTTCGGGATGCTACACGACTTGCCAATTTGTCAGCTCCACTCCAAAACAGTTCACAAAAGGGCACGCAGACTTATAAACCTCCCACACCGAGAAAAAGATCCTGGTGAAAGCAGCATACAGTAGTTCATGTGCCCCCCTCCCATCACCATCACCACCTCCTCCTCCTCCTCACTCCATGACTAAGTGATTTAGCCAGCTCTAGTGCAGACCGCCTCTCACTTACAATGCCTCCTTGGGTTAGTGACTGTGCGGGGAGGGTGGCAGAGAAAGAGAGAAAGCCCATTTACAATGTGGTTTACACACAGCCGCTCCCCCCACCACAGACAGCGCCCATCCTTGGATTGATGTGTGGTATGCATAGTTTTTGGGTGCAATTTGGACACCAGAGGGAGAGAGAAAGAAAGAGAGGGCAAGTGTGTGTGCACAGGGTGCAGGAGGGGGTGTGCAAGGCTCGGGCTCTGTTCGCTCGCCCTCTCTTTGAGTCAATAGTGTTCCGGCAGCTGAGGTTCTTTATGAGGGGAACAATCTGGAGGGTCTTGTCAGAGTGCCGAGCAGCTGCTGTTTTCTGGGGCGCTTCTTTCATAGACCACAGGCCTGGAGTGGGCTGGTGAATAAAGACGCACCCTCCCCACACTCTCCTCCTCACCCATCACCACTCCTACTTTCTCCAATTCCTCATCCACCCCTAGCCACCCCACCCGCACTGCCCCTGCCCTCCACAATGCCAGATGCAGAGTGGCACAGAGGAACATGAAGAGAGCAAGAAGACTGTTATTGTGTGCTAAACTCCCCACCGTCACCCGGGGTACCGTCCTTCACCCCGAACAATGCTTTGATGAGGTATGTGAATATCCTTTGTAACACAGACGTTATACAGTACAGCGTATTAAAACAAGAGCCAACAAATGCAGCTCAGACACATTGGCACCTGTGATTACATCTTTACATTCTGATGTGTGAGTGGAAAACTTTTTTTTTGTAAGAGATCACTATAAATCACAAGAATCCTGATTCAGGCTAAACTGGAAGAGGCTGAATGCAACAGAGCCTCATGTGTTTGATTTTCATTAGCAGAACATCGAGTGTGCATTCGCTCCCTTTCGGTCACTGATTCAATTAGTCAGATCAGTCACACACACCGCCTCCCTTCTTAATACAGGGCTCAGTTACAATGTTACATTCACTAGACTATATAACTTAACATCATTTCATTCTATTCAATTCAAGCAGCCCGTTTAGAAAAGGACATCGCTGCCACCGTCGCCACATTGTTGGCTGGCGATTGCAGAGGTGAACCTGCTGGTGTTTGGCCTCAGTTCCTGACAGGCATCTCCTGTTTAGCTGCTGTCTGAAGGCACAAGATTCCCTGTAGTGTCCAGCTGCATGCATTTACACGTACACGCTGACACTGGGCACTCCGTGTGGTCTCTGTAACACACATATGAAGGTCGGTTAAAACAAAACATGCAGGTAAGTGTACAAAAGCTAGTGTAGAGTTTGCACAGTTCTCTCAGCTCAGAGAAAACAGAAGAGCACAGCATGTCTGCCTTTCTGGATTTTTGATAATGAAACTGTGGTTTGGAGTATGTGGAACAAATTACTGTAGTTTTACTTTTAAATGTAATTTTAAATAAAGCAGTGAAAACACTCAAACTGGTATTACATTTGTAGTAGGAGATAACAGCAGGCAACTTTTTGAGGAAAACTAGAAAAAGCAGTGAAACATGCATTAGGCACGAAAATGAGAACAGGTTGTGGTGCAGGAGGCATAAATACACAAAGGACCAGAAGAAGAACATATGAGGTGTATGAGGTACACATTTACCCTTACAGTTAAGTAACAGTTAAAAAAAATTAAGTTCAGAACAAAAACTTTGCTTTTCATAATAATCACTGCACTGCAGACACTCAGCCTACAGGTTCTAACATGTGCAACAATCCTACGCCAGAGCTAATTTCAGTGACCAGTAACTTCTGTCCTAGTCTTCGTCAATGACCATTTTCTTCTGACAAAAAAAACAACAACAACAAAAAAAAACAAGGCGATAACTAAATAATAATTAGTAAAAAACTAATGCACGAGGGAGCAGGCTCAAAAACATGTGGTAATGTAAGCTGCTCTTGTTCATGTTTGCGCTGTTGTTCGTCCTCCAGGGTAGCTCCGCTGGCAGAGAAGACAGAAATCACAATATGCACAGACTTGGTTTCACTCAAATACAAAAACAGAGTTAAAAACAATGAAAAACTAACAAAACTGTTGTTTGTGCTTCTGTATGTTAGCCTTGTTTTCGTTGCTTCATTTGGGTTTTTCTTTGCTTCTTCCTCTTCGTGGTGAAATCTGCCGTTGTTCCCTTTCTTGTTAAAGGAAAATTCTACCTATTCATAGCGTCTGAGTAGCTTCTGCGTTCAGTAAATTCCAGCAATCTTTCTCACCTCACAGCCGAAGAGCTATACAAAGGGAACAAAGACTAAAATAAAATTTGGTTTCCAGTGTAATGCGAGATTTATTTTTAAATTATTTTGCTCACACCGAGTATCTACCAGGGGCGATCGTGGCTCAAGAGTTGGGAGTTTGCCTTGTAATCGGAAGGTTGCCGGTTCGAGCGTTGTGCTCGGTCGTTGTGTCCTTGGGCAAGACACTTCACCTGCCGCCTACTGGTGATGGCCAGAAGGGCCGATGGCGCGATATGGCAGCCTCACTTCTGCCAGTCTGCCCCACAGCAGCTGTGGCTACAACTGTAGCTTGCCTCCACCAATGTGTGGATGACTGGGTGTGTAAAGCGCTTTGGGGTCCCTAGGGGGGACAAAAGTGCTATACAAATACAGGCCATTTACCATTTTACCATCTATCAGAGCTGTTAAAAAGTGAACTGCTTAGCTCAGAAGTTAGTAGGTTCAGGCATCAGACTGACTTTCTGGAACAGCCATCCCCTTCAGATCATCTGCCTCAATAACTGCATTCAAATCTCCACTGAAGCCAAATTTATTCTAATTTCGGTCTACGTCTAAGTTATTAACTGTGTCTTTTGTTGATTCTTTGTCTGCCCCCTTGTAATCTGTAATACCATTTTCTAAGTTGTTCTTAGGATGACTTCCTTTTTTTTTTTCAAATTGCTTGCTGTGCACCACTTTGGTCAATGCCTGTTTTGTAAATCTGTTACATAAATAAATTGACCCGACTTGCTTAAATGCTGCATATCTTTCAGCATTCATTTGATTTTTCTACCTCATTTTTTTTGCTATGATTAATTTTGTAAAAGTACTTCATATGACTCAATGCAAAACTTTTTAGCAAACTTTAAGAGTGACTGTTCCGTTATGTTAAAGAAATAAAAACATGAACTTCAGCAGCAGATGCGTCTGAAGAGTTTCTGAGCACATGCATCCCTCCTACCTGAACCAGCTGAGCATGTGGCCAGCATGGCCACCATGTCGACAGTTGTGACACCAGGTAAACCAGTTATTAAACTGAGCCAGTTTGTTCTCCCTTGTCAGGTCCACTTTTTCATCTGATTTCCCAGTTCCTGCAAAAAAACAAAAAAGAAATAAAATATCAGTAAAGTTATAATGTTATCCTATTATGAGCAATAAGGAGAAAAGGCTTGACACTAAATGTCCAGGTGCTACCTGTGCTTAAATGCAGATCAAAGTCCACACATTAACCCAGGTAAATGCTCAGTTAAGTGTTACAGCCACTTAAGCTGCTCCAAGATGTGTGCCTGTTACTGGAAATATCAGCTGAGCATCTGTCCACACAGTCCAGTTTACCTTGGCAATTGGAAACAGGTGTGCCCATGTTCATGAGGCAGAGGGCACAGCGTGGCAGCGGTTTCCTGCAGCCAGGGCAACTTGTGACTTTTGACTTGGTGGGTGAGCCGCTGACACCATATTGGCTGAAGCCGCGGCCTTGGTGAGGTATTGTGGAGCAGCTGTAGGAGATGGACTTCCCACAGAAGTTGCAGCTCACAAACACCTGCCAAAGAACAAACACAAAGGTCGGCTGATAAGACCCGGTGAACATGAAGGTAAAACCAACAGCCGCATGCAGAGCAGCTGTCTGGATTTTATTTTTAAGGAAGAGTGAGATAAGTACTTGATAATACAGCAATAATTCCAACAGGCGTAAGAGTGATTATTGGAATTTCAGCAATGCAATGAAGCACTGCCAAGATTGAGCTTACACGTAATCACATGTTAAAAACCCTTTAATACCAGAATCTATTGAAAAAAAAAACATAAATCAACCAATGTGGAGTATGCATAGTATCAGGAACAGATTTCTCCAACACAAAAGGAGAAACAGCACAGACTATACTGACTATACGAGCAGGTTTTATGACAAGAAACTGAGAGGCGAGCTGTGGGTGTTATGAGCTTGGTGCAAACTCTACTTGTAGTGTAATAAACAGCACAACCGTCCTACTTTCATATAAGGGTAGTTGTACGTAATACAGTAAGAAACAAGAACAAACACAGAAACAAGACAGACTGCTTTGAGCGTGCAGGTGCTGGATCATGTCAGAGCCTGGAATATGTTGTTTTATGACAGGACACTTTCACACTGTTTTACTGAGAGAATAAAAACATGTATCTAATTTCACCTCTAACGTTTTTTTAACTAAACAACAACAACAACTGTACGGTGATGAAATATGTCAATACTGGTACTAATATCAAATTTATAAAAACTGGCATTTCATGGGTTGACGATAGCTTTAACCCACTTCATCTTTTAAATCTTCCTGAAACAAAGCAAAGCGACTGAGTCGATTCTTTGGGATGACACTATAGTGCCAAAAAAAGACTGTAACCATCCTCCAATCGGGGGATGTACAACTTGTCCTGTCCCTCCATGGTTGAAGTCTGTAAAGTCCAAACAGCAAAATGCAGAAGTGACAGAATCGGCTGTTCCTGTAATGGCTGTGGTTGCTCTAAAATCAAGTACTAGTTCTATCTTAAAATGTACAAAAAAGCCA